AGGGAAGCTGTGGAGGAGGCTTCTTCAGTTGGGTAATGCCTTAAGTTTTGTCCAGAGTTGGGGAATGAGACCTATTTTTCTTCATTTCATTTCATTTCCTTTCCCCATTTTGAAAAGAGGGATGGGAGGGGGAGGGCAGTTAATTTGGGTATTAAGGGCCTTGTGAATGAATGCAAGGGGGAGAGCGGGGAACTAGCCCTTTCACCCAGATGATGGGCCGAACCCCGCATTTCTGGGGGAGGAGGAGGTGGAGTTGGGTCTGGAACAAGGAGATAAGAATCGATCCCTCCAATCCCCTTTAGGAGCGAAAATAAAGTTTACTTCCTGACCAGGTCAGAGAAGAGAGCAAGAAGGTTTGGTCTTGGCTTGGGGGCAGGGCAATATGGTATTGGTAGGGACCCCCACAAGTAAATATTGGGTCCCCGCTGATCAAACAGCTGTTTTCCAGGAAACACCATGAAAAACTGGCTGCTGCTGCTGCTGATGGGACTAAATTAGACTTGGGGCATACTTGAGCTACCTGGTGGTGGAAATCAACCTCCCATTTGCTGCCTCTTAAGGCTTCTTGCCCCCCTATGGCTCGCCAAGTGTATGTGTCTGAAGAGTTTCTGTTACACTCCTGGAATTCCAGTGACCGCCAAACCTGGCAGCTGGTGGATACTACCAGCAGTCCATATGGAGTGCCTTGATGCATATGGATCAACACAACAAGATCGAAGGGAGTACAGCTGTGGGGTGTCCCCCACCATGGAGTGCACATATCGGATCCAAAAGATACCATTACTGTATCCCCGGGTAACAATTGGACTCTATTGGCCAACGATGATGGATACATCACTGAGATTGAGGACCACCAAATTCTCGGAGCGGAAGGCACTTACGATCATGCCGTGCACGATGGACTTCGAATAGACTTTGTGCTTGTATTTTCTAAAATTGGAATCATTAGATTGTGAGCCCTGTAGAGGTATGAGAGGCCTTGTGTGGACATGCGGAATTTCCTCATCTTAACTCAGGACAAATACAAGGGTTGCAAAATGGAGGGAAAATCTCCTGGATTTTGGTGGGTCCCACCTAACCAGAAAAAGATTCCTACAGTTTGGGGATCTAGCGTCCCAGAAAACTTTGTTGTATTCCCCTCACTGTTTTTGGAAAATTTTGTAGTCTTGCAATGGGAAATTAATGTCACCAGGACACATCCGTGGTGCAGCAAATGGGCAGAACCCATTCTATTGGCCTGGCTAGGAAATCGCGAATTGCATAGGAAATTTCATAGAGATGCAGCAACCATCCTGGGTTCAGTGGGAAGTGCCAGAGTGGTGCTTAACCAAATGGATATAGAGGTAGTGTGAAATAAGCTTGCTAGGATGGAACAACTTACCCACCAAGCACTAAAGGGTCAAATTGTGGCTAATACAGAATATCAGGAGAATCATGTTAAAACTGTAACAGTGGCCGTGCAACCACTCAAGCAGCTACATTCCATTATGCATTCAGTGTTAGAAGGATACTTAGCTAATGAAACAGGTTTTGCTATATCTTGTGTAACTATGCAAACCTTCGTATTACACCAATAGAAAAAACAGGCACTTTGGATCAAGTCAGGGGATCCAGCAGTCATATCCAATTCCTATGCTGAATGGTGTCCTGAATGTAAAGCCCTCTTTGCGAAGGTCATCTCCTCTGGGATTAACAAGCCCTTGAGAGGATATATTCATGTGAGATTGGTGGGGGTGGAGACCAAAACCTGGCCCTTCTATGACTATGTCCCAATCCCTATAGTGTTGGCGGGGAGGGTTTGGTCCCCCAGGTCCCCTGCTAAATGGGTGTCTCAGACAAAAGAGCTCCTAGACCCCAGAGGGTGCAAACAATGGGGCCATCATGCATGGATGTGCTATCATGAAGATTTCCTAATGGACCCTTGTCATCTACATCAGGATAGTGTAGGCGATTGTGTGTTAGATGAAATCTTTAACCAAACCACTGTAGTAGTGAACAATGCCATTGGGTGTCTATGTGTTGCTTCAGTGACCCCAGTAACTTGAAACAACAGGAATGTCTCCCAGGCCCCTGTTAGAAAGCGCCATTGCAATGCCACCACTGTAAAAAGTGGAGAACATATTTATGCACAACCTACGTATTCACGTTCATTAAGCTTAGCCAAGGTCTTCCCGGTGATTTGGACTATGTTACTAGGCCATTCTAGGGAAGCTGTCTATCAGAAACTGGGGAAATCAGAAAAGATGATTATCAGCTATGCTACTGCTTGGAATAAGGAAAACCAGGCAAGCCTACATATAATACATCAAAAGGAAAAGCTTTTAAAGTTAACTGCCAAGTTAAAATCAGTGTCTGAACACCATTGGTATGACATTTTCTTAGGTTATAGCCCCACCTGGACTGGGTTGATGAACTTTGCGCTACATCCAGTAGTTATCATTTTGCTGTGAATTGTTATTTTATGCTGCCTTATGTGTATGCTTACCTGCTATGCCCAAAGATTATATGGGAGAGTGCAGGGCCTGATGGATTATGTTGATGGTTATATAACCCTACACGCAGATGCAACTGGTCAGGGAGGGATTGTAAGGCCCGTCCCGAAAAGGGTTCTGGGAGGACGCTAACCTGGCATCCTGGAGGGGGAGGTCAGCCTTGTGGAACCCAGGAGCCACGGGATAATGACCTAATGCATTTGCTGTTCTTTGAATAAGATTAGAAAGAGGAACTGCTCTTGCCTGACCCAATGGCTCTGGAAAGAGGAATTTCAAAATGACAGCTTTGCAGCATGCAACAATAGCTTTGCTCTAATCTGTAAAAGGTAATAAGGCTAGAAGCTACTTTGATTAAAAAACCCAAAGAGATAGAAAGCGGGAGTAAAAGTATAAAAGTTATGAAAACTAGGTGCCTGGAGGAATCACTTCAGGGAAGGACAAGGCTAAGAACCTGTCACAGAGCACTTAGATGCCCTGCTTCTTTTAAAGAGGGGAAACTGCTAGGGAAAGAGGCCTAGCAGTGAGTGAGAAGCCCCAGCTGCTGGTTGCCAGGGCAACCAGAATTAGCTAGTTACCTGAGCAAACAAAGGGGAGAGGCCTGACTGCAGGAGCAGCTCCTGATATTATGCTGGGGTGGAGTATTCCCCAGTAGGATTTGAATGACATTACAAGCAGGCAGCTTGAGTTTATGTTATAGCCCAGGGACTTGTGTTGGTTTATTATTGTATTATACCAGTGGTTTGGGTGAGGCTATTAGGGGATGGAGGAGGCCTCATAGGGGACACACGGCAGCGTAGGGACCCTGAGCACCAGAAAGGCCGTGGCATTGGGGGTGCACTGACCCCAAGTGCCAGAGAGGCCGCAGCATTGGGGGTGCCAGTGAGGGCACGGTTCAAGACAGGGCTGTGGAGGGCCCAGGGAGGACAAGGGGGCCAAATCATAGCAAGGCCCAGACCGAACAACGTCGGTTTCATCTGCGAGGCTTGGGGCGTGGTAAAGGGGTGGTTGGAGCCACACATAGCCCATAAGGCGAGGGTGCCCTGAAACACCCATTGTGCCATCCATCTTGGAGCAGGACCCACCAGGGGTCTGAGAGTCCGCGGGGTCAGAGTGTACAGCAAACCGTGTCAAAGAGGGCATAAAGGCAGCCTCCCATATATATATTTTACCATCAAAGATGTGGCGGGCGAGAATCGAGGGTGCCCATTGGGTCAACTTGGCACAGTAAGGGGGCCTTGGGAAGATCACGGCCATCCTACAGGACCCCACTCCGTGACAGAGCCTGATAAAGGATACCATCTTGCCACCCTAGACGCAGGGTGGGGTTCCTGAGACAAGTCAGGTAATGACTTAGGACAGGGAGGGGAGTGCCTTTCCACCAGACAACTAGCTAACGCTTTTGTAAGCCCTTGTATTAAGTTGCTGCCATTAAACCATTTTGCTGTTACCCACGATAAAAGTTATACTTGTTGCTTTGACCCTGGTGTGTGACTTGTGGGTCACTCACCTTCCCCCTTTGGAAGGGAGGGAGCCCTGACACCATGTCCCAGCATGGTACGGTCTCTGCCCTCCAATGTGCTGCAAGCAGCAGTCTCAGGCACCTCAGGCACACCATAGATCAGGAGTGAGCAACACTTGTGGGCAGATTGCCAAAACACCTGCAACCTTGACATGTAAGATGTTGGCATGCCAGGGACAGATGGTGGAGGAACTGTGAGGGGCCCAATCTTTGGTATGGCAGTGCAGCCCTGGCTCCTTCTCCATGCTGCCCTGAGGCATACATGCCAAGCAAAATGCTATTGCGTGCACCACTCTGGTACCCATGCTGGCAGTTGCCTTCCCCTGCCATAGATGTTTCCTCCTGAACAGGCCAATTTGTTATACACTCATGATAGGCATACGCCCATCAGAAACTCCTAAACAGGAATAAGTGTAACTTCTTTTGTGCAGTGTTCTGGGTGGGTTAAGTTGCCTTCATGAATGACAATGCAGTAGCATGCCCGTGAAAAGGAGAAATTCAGCTAGTTTAGGAGGTGCCAGAGCAGTGTAGTAAGTGTGCTACTCCTAGTTATGATCAGTTTACTGTTTAAAAGTAAACATGGGTGATTGGTGACTCCAGAGTCTGGGGGGGGCACCAGCATCCCATAGCTGACCAGGGTGGGGATTCCCCAGCAGCCAATTGCCAACCCTAGAAGCACCAGCAGCAAAAGTGGAAATGCTGCTGGTGCTTCTCCTGGTGCCAATCTCACAGGGGTCACCAACTGGCACTTCACTTGGAGCCCCCACTTCCTGGCCAGTGAGGGCCAATCTTAGGGGGGCTCCCCTGTACCCCCTCTCGCATTGCCTATGGAAGTAAACTTTGTATTCAGTCCCAAGTTAGAAGTCATACTGGGATTGTGTGTTCTTGTCTATGGCAGGTTAGGGTGTTAGGTCTTGTGGTGTGTCAGGGTTGACTGTTTTGCTCAGAGGTTAGACCATGATTTTGTAAAGAATGGTTTGGACTATCACTAGATGACCTATGGAGGTCCCTCCCAGGCCTCCTTCCCTATGAATCTGATGGCTAACGTCACAGCATAAGATGCTGAATGTACGAGGCTGGTAAAATTTTGAGTAGACTTTCTTATTTTGAATCTTCTGGGTTTTCTAAAGGATTGCATATTTTTCTCCCTGTATATTGGGTAAAAGAAAGGGAACTCAAACAATTTCATTTTAAATAGGAATTTTCCTTTGATTCCCTTGTGGCTAGAAGCAGAGAAGCTTGAACTAATAGATGTTTATTCTCAGTGTTCTGACTCTTGTCCTGTAGGGCCAGGCCAACGCTCAGGATCTCAAAATTGCGCTGTTAGACGGAAGTGTGTGACACAATTGCACATACACACACACAAAAATTACTGGGCACGTATACACACTGGGCACATACATACACACACTAGGTGCATACACACACTACCAACTCATGCACATGCACATCCAAGATTACCAGTCTAAGCACATGCACACCTATCACCAATTCAAGCCCCTACACACTATACACACCAAAAGTTAGACAAAAATCAACTGTCAATATTTGCACACTCAATACACATACACAGATTACTAATCTGTATACCATGCACATAATGATATATATATATATATATATATATATATATATATATATATCATGATGAGATATATGCCAGTTCACACACACGCACACCACAACTACACATACACACAGGTGAGTTCCTGACTTGGGTGGCATGGTGTGTATGTGTGTGCTTGGGGTACTTGGGGTACCTAGGGTGCTTGGTGACTATGGGAGGGGGAATCAAGGGTCAAAGATTTCTGGAAGGAGAGAGATGAATGGGGGTTAAGATGGGAGAGGGAAAAATAAGAGAGTGAAAGTGCCAGCAGTGAAAGCTGCTGTGGCCAGGATTAGAACCAGCAGGCTGGAGGGGAGCTGGAGTTATTTAAGGTCATGTGGCCCTGGGGTTACTCAGGATGATTGATGCTTGGGGTTACTTAGGGTTAATGTGCCTCAGGGTTACTTGGGGTCACCTGGTGCTGGGGTGGAAGCAAGGGAAAAAGCCCAGTGGCAAGGAGGAGACAGCCTGAGAGCCTGGAAACTAAAAGGAAGAAAGCTGGGACATCAGGGGGAAGATAAGTGGTGGCAAGGAGGAGACAGCCAGGAAACAGAGAGGTAGAAAGCTGGAAGATGGCTGGGAAATCAAAGAGGAGGGTTGGGAGGCCAATGAGACAAAAACCCAACTCAGGGTTTCAAAATAACAGGTTTATTAAACAGACAACACACTACACAGCTCCGCAAAGTTATTGGTTCCTACACACCCAAGCACTCACATACACACCCACACAATGGTAGCAGGAGAGAAAAAGGCTTGGTGGAGGGATTGAAGTCAAGGCATGTAGGGACAGAGTCCAGGTCCTTTGCTCATGGAAGAAAGGTGGGTGATAGCTACCTATCCTGGGCTGTGAGTTGATCCTCAATGGCCAGTCAGGATCTCCTCCAGCAAGGTGTTGTCCAGAGGCGGTCACTGGTAGGGCCTCTGGGTGGATAGGTGGTATGGCGTGGTGCTGGTCCAGGTGGAGAGGACGTCCCACTGGGTCTGTCTTCACTACCCCTTTTTATAGGGGCAGACCTTCTATTACCCTAGTGTCAAGGGCATGCCCAGACAATGGTCAGCCCTGGTGTACTGAGCATGTGCACTCCAGGGAAGGACATGCAGTTCCAGGTGTCTGTTGCAATAGTGGGTTGGCTGATTTTTGTAGGGTCTTTGTCTTTCAAATGCTGGGTCCATGGTTCCTGGGTGAGTCAATGGAAGGCAATCGTGCAGTTGTTGAGTTGATTATTCAGTAGAGGCTTGCTACCATTGTATCTCAAGCACCCTCATCCATTCAGGAGCCAATTTACATGAGACTGGTTAGACATGAGTCATAGGCTACACCCGGGCAGAGGACACAGGATGGAGGCTTGACAGTCAAAATGGAAACTTGACATTACTTGACATTACTTATGCTAACTTACACATGTAGGCCTAAATCATATAGTATCAATTAAAA